ACCACCCCCACGCACCATCCCCATCTCCCCTTGCTACCATCCCCCCCCAACCCCGGCCGCCACCCCCTCTATTCCCTTCTTCCTCCCCAAAACTCCATTTCAAAATATAGTTTTTAATTAATTTAAAAAATAAAGAAATTTTGTATTTATTTTTTTTTACCCTATTTTTTCATTTTCTTTAGCTGTCAAAAGTCCTATTTAATCCCAAAAATATAGTATGTGTTGCTCACATTATTAAATTTTGACATAAAACTAGACGGTAGGGTAGGACCAGTTCACTGAATAATAAAGAGTGGAGGGACCATTTGAATAAATAATTTAGTTAAGGGACAAAATACAACTCGTGTACAAATTGAAGCAACATTTGAGTTACTTTTCTTTTTCGTCGTCTCGTTCATACATAACCAGGAAATTGAACCATAATTGCTGAACACCATATACTATACAAAGACTAGGACCCAACAAAAGACAGGAAATACAATTCCTTGCATTGACCAGGACCCAAGAAAACGAAGGGAGTCATTTGAATACTGGTTTTAAGAATATGAGACCAATTCTATTTCTTAGAGCATCCACAGTTGGGGAGGAGGGGGTGTAAATTTGGGGGTGTAAAACCACTTTTACATCCCCTTTATACCTCCGGGGGGTGTAAATATGTTTCTTGCTCTAGCGGGGGGGTGTAAATTCGGGGGTGTAGCCGTGGGTTCCAGCCTTTTATGCTGACTTTTCTTCATTTTTCTTCTCTTTTCTCGGGTGGGGCTCGCCTGCAAAGGGTGTAAAAATAGATGTAAATATACATTTTATTTTACATCCTCATGGTGGTGATGTATATTTAAATCTATTTACATCTCTCCATTGGAGACGATTCTGGTGACTCGGGGTGTATATTTAACATACATCCCTATATACACCCCCCCACTGTAGATGCTCTTATAAACAGGAAAACAAACACAGCCATTGATTGCCATATTTGCACAGAATGGACAAGTTTTCAGCTTTTCTCTCCTTCATGGCCTTCGTTTTACTACTTAAACAAATTTTGATAGTTGATGGAATTAGTGACACAACAAAGGATGATGGTTTCATGGGTATACTAGGTGCCATTGTGGATAACAGTTCTTGAATTGGCAAAGAAGAGAGCGTTGCGATGCAGATTGCGGTGGAGGATTTCTTTAACAAAAACAATCAACGTTTGGATTTGAAGATCAGAAACTCTCAAGGGGACCCCCTGCAGGCAGCTCTTGCAGGTACCTTTTTTTTTTCTCTTCACTGTTAAGCTGTGTTTTGAGTAGAAATTTGTGCACATAATATGACAACTCTCTCACAAAACATTTTCAATGATGAAACCTTCACGCTTCCTTATTTAATCCCTTGGAGCCCCCCTGAATTGAACAAGAGAAGAAAAATGTTAGTACCAAAAAAACAAATTAATAATAATGACATATTAAAAATTGAATATAAACTATTTTACCAGCCGCTGTGCATCCATCCTATATGAGAAGGGCCTCGAACCTAAATGGTAGAGAAGAGTCTTCTTGTTCCTATTGCCCTTATTTACTTGGCCTTATTCTGTTATACAAAAAATAAACGTATTAGTTGAAATTGAAATGAAATATAAAAAATTAAAATAACATTAGTAAGAAACATGTAATAATTTTGAACTTAATATAAAAAAATACCACATAATCGAGCGCCTGAAAATGACCGCAGAGCCACGCCCAACTATCTTCACGCCCCTCAAGCTCCTTCAGGCAACCCTCCTGAAGAGTGACCTGCGGATCATCAAATGCCTGAAAATGATGGTGCAAGTTGCTCTTCCACTGCTTGTACCTCTCAGCAAAGAGTATGTTGACATACGTCAATGACTCGTCGTCCAGGTCCTCTAAATTTTAGTTCATCTGCAATAAATTAATTACATGTATTAAGTAATATAAATATATAAAGTTTGAAGGAAAAACAATTAAAAGGTAGGATACATACCGACAGCTGTCCACGCGCCTTTGTCTTGATCTCGTCAGGCATGACCTTCCAAGACTATCATTGCATTGGGGAATTGGTCCGAACGACATGACCAATGTCGTGGGCCAATGAGCTATGCAACTCCACCGTCGGTGCAGCCTGATGCCGCTCGTCTTATTCGATGTTGATACGACTGTTGGTCACCCAGGTGACCTTCGCCGTCTTCAACTGCCGGCACAGCCCCTGGGTGTTCTTCTTGGCTGCAAAGAAATATGAAATTAGCCTTAAATAAATAACAAATTCAACTATAAAATACCAACAAAAAAAAAAATACCTGGAGTTGAAGGAAATATGTACCTAGTTGTGACCCCAACGCACCAGTATCGTCTATCAATGTGGTGTCGATGGTGCTAGCGGGCCGGTGACGACTCCTGGTGCTAACAGGTTGCCCCACTGCTGATGCTGATGACGCTGGCGCCTGGGACACCTCGGGACCAACTAGCAAGTGGTCCATCTGTGCTGGAGCAGTGGCAGCTAATGACGGCTGTGCCAAGGGAGGCGAACTTTGTGCAGTTGTCACCGGCTTATGTCGAGCAAGTTTTTGGCGCCAAATAAAAATATCCCACGTTTTTCTTACGCGACGATAACATTTGTTGTCGCGCTAAGTAGTCTTTTGCGACGACA